GATCCGTCAGAGTAAAAATAAATATATCATTATTTCATTTTAGTTAGTCGCAAATAAACAGAGAGAAATCATTTTTTATAACATTTTTAATTAAAAAAATAAAAATTATATTTAATTTCATCATTTAAAAAGTGTATTACATTGTTTAATGAGACATTTAAAGGTTCATTTATGTACTTCACAATGTATTAATTTATGTAATTTTGTCTTTTTTGGCTCTCCGTACATCTAAGGGTCATGTCCCTATGATTCTGAACATCATTTCGTAACTCCCACTGTCTCAACCCCTGCTGTAAGTTACTTAATGCACCGATGAAGCAAATAACCCAACCCTAAAGGAAGAGACATGATTAAGGAAACAAATCTAGAAATATGGAATGTGTGTGTTGTTTCTGTACCTGTGATGTGTGAGAGGCTGATCTGAAGGTAATCCAGAGACAGAGAGTCGATCACAGACTGAACGTTGTGGACATCGTCCTCTTGACTGTTCGCTGATGCAATATAATCTAAAATACAAACATGGAAGAAAAAAAAAGTAAATCGGCATAATTCATAATTCAGTCGGTCATTCAAAAAAAAATAAACAGATCAAAACTTCACTATCCAGATGTTAAGCCAAGCAGAAAGGTGTGAGCTTCTTACATTATAAAAAGTATTTTTTTAGCTGCAAATTTCTCCTTTGTAAAAAAAAAAAAAAAAAAAAAAAAAAAGATCAGGTGTATGCTATTGAATGTTATCTTTGTGCATTTTAGGCAACAAAATGTTTATTTTTTTTCTCTTTAAAAAAATGAATAAACTTATTGCTTTATTTGTATTTTTGTACACATTTCTAATATTGTAGAAAATATGATAAAATGGTTGCATGAAAGAATAAAAAAAGTGAACAATGTGCCATTTTTTTCTTATTTAATTTGAATTTTCTTACATTTTTTTTTCTTAATTTCTGATTAATTGTCAAAAAAATTTTTGACTGAATAATCAACTACTAAAATAATCACCAGCTGCAGCCCTTGTTTACTGGAAGAAACAGCTGTGCATGCTGGCATGTTTGAGTCTGTGTTCAGATAACACTTTGCAGCAGGTTAAGTCAAGAGTTAAGGGGGATCCGTTTCAGGAAATATCATTCTTTAGCCTTTCTTGCCAGTAGCAACCCGGATCAACCATCTTAATAACTCAAAGCCTTGAAAAAACGTGGCCACCGACAAACACCAAATCATCGGAGCATCTGCAGAAACATTTCATCTACCCAGGAGTTTGATTTTACCTGGAACCGTCTCCCCGAGGATCGTCTCGTACAAAGTGACGAAAACATCTGGACCGCACTCCGACAGTGTGCTCAGCTTCAGGTTTACGTTACACCTGCTGAGAAGATTGTTTGCCACATCAATCCAGTCTGCAGAGAAAAATGAAAAATCATGTGTGAGGAGGGTTTGCTGGTAGAAAAGAAGATCAGAATGTCTCGCTGAACGGTAACCAAATCCAGAACAGCAATCCTGTTAAAGCACATGTTTTTGTTTTGTCTGGATTTTAAGATTTATATAACTCATTTATGTAACTCTCAGACAGAGGATTACTTTTGTTCTATAATAGATGACAGATAAGGCTTAGTTTTAGCATCGGAACATCGCTTCTTTTTGATTCAGTTCCATTTTATCCAGTCCATGAACCTTTTCCTTCTTTCTCTCTCTTCCACTTAGCTCCACATTCTTCCAACTTTTCCATAATCTCAAACCACCGTAGCTTCACCCTGCTCAAAATTCTCCAAACCTGAGCACCAGATTATCCCTCTAACATGCTATTTGCTACTTCTGTTTTGGTCATATACATCACCAGGTCTGGCTAACAGTTTCAAACCGTTCAATGATTCAAATCAAAGGTACATCTACTAAATACTGACTTAAAGGGGGTGAATATTTATGCAATCACTTATTTTATGCTACATACTTTTATTTAACTGTCATTATTTGGCAGGAATCAGTTTCACTTTTATAAAGTTGTTTTTGTGTAATTTCTTGTGTCAAAAAAAAAGTAACAAAAAGTTGCTTTTACAAATCAGTAAAAGAGTGAAACATCCAAAGAGGGTGAAATCTTTTGATTCTGTTCTGCATGTTTCAGAACATTTGGATCTACATGGGCCCCCGGGTTACTTAATCTTGCGACTGGTGCCGAAAACAGAAGCTGACAGAGATTTCACAACAACAGCCCCAGGAACTCTTTTCCCACAGAGCATCAGATCTGTGGACTGGGTTGTATTTTCTAAAAACCAACTAACGGGTCAAACCTTTTACATTTTCTTGATTACTTATTTATGTCTATTTTTTTAATACTGATTTTTTTTACTCAGTAAGATAAACTGGCTTTTCAGTAATATCAGTATACAATAAAACTGGAAATACATACTTTGGATTATTTAAAAAAGTGTATTTATGGTAGTGTAAGTATTTCTATAATGTATGTAGTGCAGAAATAAATAGTTAAAAGCAGAGTCCGTGAGCATTTATTTTACTCTTTGTGTAAATCTAGCTGTTCTGTGAAAGTCCAAAGAGGGGAGGAAAAAAGTATATAACTTTTATTTTAAAAATGTTTTGTGTTGTTTTACATATTTGTTAAAACCATCATTATGTTGTGACAGTACATCATTAGATAATCTTTGAATAAATAAACAAATAAAAAAAAATCTAGCCCCTCCACTTCGTCACAGAAATGCATACAATCAAGCTCATGTATGCTCTGCTCAAAGAGCTAATTGTGAAGAAACAACTTACTCACTGTCACTGGTAGCCATGCTAATTAGCCTGAGCATTTACAGAAACACGAACACCAGCTTGATTGACGGCGCTAAGACCCTCCCTTTTGATTATCATTGGTTGTTTTTGTCCTGAGCAGTGCCTTTCTGGGGGAAACATTTTTTTTCTCTCTAACACATTCTCTGTCTCGTCCCATACCGACACGACATAGTGATAGTTTTAGAAAATATGTAGAAATCAAATGTTTTAGAAATGTTACACATTATAACTTTAAATCAGTGTTAGAGCATACAATCTTTCCAAAACTTTGAACATCTCAGCGTTATGACAAAAGCTGATCCTAAATGTATCATTTTTCCCATCTATTTCCCAAATATATTGAAGTGCGACATGGTTTATCGTCTAAAATCCTGACTATAATATTACAAAATGTTATAGTATAGAAAACCCTTCAATGTTTTCAATGTGTGTGGATACTTTTGCAAACTATAACTTTCTGCATACTTCATCAGCACTTCAAGACATTACATTTGTTGTCATCTTACTTTGAATGAAGCTAAACAGCAGCTCACTAATCGCCACAAATAAATAAAGGTATCTTCTAGAAATGGATTCAAACACTACTCCCTCACATCTCGGTGTTATAACTGGATCTTTTCTTAGTTACTCCAGCTCTACAGATCACAACCTCATGAAGATCAGCAGTTCTTCTTTGTTGTTTCCCAGACACTCCCTCATTGAAATTATGTTGCTAAAAAATTTGTCGGACCTACATTCCCTCCGACAGACTTTCCATGTAGCTTCCTGTTGCCAATCCTCACATTCGCTGAGTTTCTTCCTCATTCATCAGCTCCTTAAACCTTCCTCAATAAATCGGTCTAACACAGTTATTAACTGCACTACCTCACTGGCTTGCCTTTTCACTCTAATTTTGTCAGATTAGGGTTAAAACTTTAATTGACATGTTTTGTTCTAAAAGAAACCAGTATTTATTGCGACACTGTAACGCCAACAAACATCTTCCTGTAACATTAGTGCCTTTTCTAACGCTGTTTTACTCAAACTTTGCCGGTTGAATAAACTGAAAAGTGGCAAGCTAACGTTGCTAGTGGTTGCTAGCAGGAACTTTATGGGATAAGGCTAAACGGCGACCTGTTATCATTGTAATAAATATATATATCTACAGTAAACGTTTGTCCAGCTGTAAGAAGCGACAACATTAGCCGTCCAGAAACCAAACTTTGGCCGCAAGCGTTACGTGTCGCTAGCTTTCAGCGAGAAAGAAAGTCGTGGTCGCCTTACTTCTCTCTCCCTCCTGGGTTCCCATGAAACAACTGTCGAAAAAAAGATGGCTGGGGCTTGAAAATGGACGAGGAGGCAAAAAAGGGGGCTTAGTCCCAAATTGTAAACCTGACCCGAAAAACTGGTATCGGTGTTGTAGTTTTTTTTTCGGTATCAGCTCACATTCAAAACTGAGGTCTTGTTTGATTGGACGTTAGCTCATTCTTTGTTTGAGGAAGTAAAACCTGACGTGCTGTCTATCGCCCCCTACTGGTTTCTATGGATATTGACCCTTTGCAGATCCATTTGGCACGTCAACGATCTCGCCATATTGCAGAGGGAGATTTTGAGGAAGTGCATAAAACAAAGGTCATTCCCAGTGGAATCTTGGCGCTGCAAAACTTTCGTATCGTGATATGTCTTTAGAATGTTGTAGATCCAAATATATTGTGCTTTTGTTATAATGTATTTTAACCAGTAAAAGATTATGCTTTTTTCATATTTTTTTATTTTGCTTGCTTATGATTGAAAATTATTTTTAACACACACACACACACACACACACACACACACACACACACACACACACACACACACACACACACACACACACACACACACACACACACAATCTATTGGCTGTTGTAATCATTAGATTAATTTCAGCTTTTTAAGTTTAGAACTTGGTAATCAGCACAATGTCTTTGTAAATGCAACTCAACTTTGAATTTTTAAAAATGCTAACACAACAATAAACAGTGACTAAACGTGTCATCAAAATGGACACTGTGCCATTAAAATAGGTTAGCCAAAAAATAACATCGATCCTATTATGGAACCATAATTAAGAAAAAAAAAATAATTCAAACAGTAAAATTAACAATACAAACCATGTTGTCAGTTTTGGGGTTTACAAAAATCATCGGTTAGAAAATATCATTAGAATGAATTGATTATCACAATGAGCTTTTATTCTTGGAAAACAATAATTTTTACACGTCTGTAGTTGCCTCTACTCCTAATGTTAATAATTAAAGATTACTCACTGCAGAGAGTGTGGAAACTAAATTTGAATGTTTTTATAAGAGAAATTGTGATCATTTAAAATCAGACTCAGCGGGTCAAACTTTGATCAAACACCAAAGATTTGAAATCGCTCACAAAAACTTGTATCAATACATCTCCAGTATCACCTTCAGATCATCACATCCAAACAAAGCAGACAAACATGATCAACATCAGAGAGTTTTAATAAGTGTGTTTTTTTTATGTTTTTCTTTTTTTTTAATGCTAATCTCGTGAATCATTGTCACGAGATTAGCTTTAATTCACAGATCCAGTTGAGGTTAAAGGAGCAATGTTCATCGTTCCAGCTTCTCTCCGAAAAGTGATGCTTTATGTTCCCACAGTTCTCCAGTGTTTTACCATTTGGCTCGCCATCTGCCCAGAAGCTAAAAAAAGAGAACTTCACTCAGTGCAACTTCTGAAACTGGATGGACTGGACAAATCACAAAAAAAACTTTGAGATCCGTAATAAGGTCAAGGAAGTCACCAAAATATAAACCAAAGTAAAAAAAAACAACAAAAACAAAACATTTGCAATTCAGAAATGATTCATTTTGTCCTTTGAAACATGAAAAAAAAGACAATGCAATGCATCAAAATGCATTGAATTTCTTTGTTTACTTGATTTCTTACAATAAAATCTAGAACAATATATAGATCTTAGCAGAACTGTGAAAAATTAATGTTTATGTAGCAATGAAAAAAAAAAAATTTACCTTGTGGTAACTAGACTCCCGTCGACCCATTTCCATGTTCCCTCTGTTTCTCCATCCGTCAGTCCAATCCACATGTACTTCTGAAACTTGTTTGCAAAAACCTTGGAAACAAATATTATTAACTTCAGTAAAACATCAAGCGGCTTTGCTTGGTATAAGGAAGAACAAAATTATTCACACTCCTGGCCGACCCTGGCGTTTCAATTCTTAGTGAGCAATCAGTGGTGATAAAAGCAAAGTTTTGTGGTAGGAAAGTTTGCTTTCCATCACTGTAATCTTTTGCTTTGTCTCCAGTTTCCAGTGGAGACTCCAGAACATTAACAATAATTCAAGTCAGCAGAAACATGTTAGTCAATCTGACATATTACCTTCAACCTAAACCTCTTTATGATGAAGGTCATAAAGAGAAGCAAACACACACACCTGTTTGCTTCTGCTGTTGACGATCATCAAGTCCGCGCCTTTTGACTGACAGTAATTTCTGCTCTCTTGCCAGTTCTTTTTGTCAGAAGAAACGTAGTACGCATTGCCTCCAAAAAGCTCCCATCCTGGTTGATCTGGAAGGATAAACAGACAATCTCAAATGACTGAAAATGAAGGGGTCAAAGGGCAAAAGAGAAAACCCAGATGTCTAAAAAAGCTAAAGAGAGGAAGAAATATGAAGCAGAGCAGACAGGAAACATCTAAAAACTATGTTCATATTAAAGCATGGACATCAGCGGCTCTTTTACATAGAATAGCAGATACCTTAGTTACTCCAATGGAAAAAAAACAAAAAACAAGAAAATATGATTTACAGCAATTAAATGATGCCTATGATAAAGTGTGAAATAATTATTAGCACATGAGTAATTGTATATTTTACTAGATATTAATGGTGACTGCATGAAGATAATCACGTGTTTTTGCCATGAATCTGGAGAATGTTACAGTGGCACTGTGCAGCTTTGCAAAACATTTGTGGCGGTTTGAACATTGGATTAGGGCGTTTCACACAATTTTGATAAACATTGATGAGAATCGTCAAATTAAAAGTCTCAATTCTTCGTGATCCAAAAGATGAAAAATGTCAAAGTATAATCTGTTTTCACACCTATATTTGTATTTATTGATTCCTGTGCAAATTGTACATGCTGTGATGAAATCTCTATACCCACTTAAAGTGTTGACCTTTGCCTTCAGCTCATCTCGTTCCTGACTGATTGTTCTGGACATGGCCTCGATGTCTGAAACACAATGTGTGTCATTCATTACATCACATCACAATAAACACCTAACATGAAGAGATTGATTCTGACACTCACACAACTTTGTTTTCCTCAAAGTGTCTCTTTCTTCAGTCAAGGCATTCTGTTTGGATTCTGTCATTTTCAAGAAAAGGTTCATGTGAGTTACTCCCATTGTTTTGATGGACATTTCAAATGTCTGACTTTATATGTCACAACAGTGACATATAAATGGTGTTTTTTTTTTACGTCTTTAAACTTTTCATTTCTCAGACTGAGCTGAACTTCAACACAATTGGAAAACAAGAGCTGGGTGAACAAGATTGACTTTATTGTGTTTTATTCACACAAGGTAAAAAAAAAAATAAAAATAAAAGATACAAGTGACTCACTTTTGGATAAATGCCCCCAGGACGGAACCTGAATCTCTTATTGTTGATTCAAGACATTTTTCCAGGCCATAAATATAAAAATCTGCCAATGGAATTAGTATTTTTCTTTATCATTATTATGGAGAAATTAACTTAAACCCAGCTCCTACATCTTTGTGAAAAGTTGCTTGTAAGTTAGTCTTACTTCAACTAAACTTAGATATTTGCATTAGAAACTAGACAATAATACTTTAAAAGATTTTATGTTTTTGCAGTGCACCAGCGATGAACGTAAATGAACGACTCACTTTACGGTACTTGCTTTCATAAGAACCTTATTTTTAAACCAACCCAAATCATTCAGCCTCCTGTTGATTTCCTCCTTGTCTTCTCTCAACGTGTTGCTATTGGCTTCAATATCTGAAACACAGTTATTATTTACAAAAGCAGGCAGGTGTCACTAGAACAACATAGTTTAAGTTATAAAGACATTTTGATAGGAGAAGAAATTCCCTCAGGAACAAAAAAAGGAGCATCCATATATTTTCTTGATAGAGAGGGAAATAATATAATCACGCAGACAAAAATATATGTCTATTTTAATGATTACACTCACCAGAGTTAATCTTCTTTAGACCATCTCTCTCCTTAGTCATGGCGGCAAGCTGTGAAGCTGCAATTTTAAGGGGAAAGAGAATCCCAAAAAAAAGAAAAGAAAAGAAATGACATTTCTGAAATGTCTTTAGATCAGTTTGTTTTGTGATTTTAATTGTTTTGAAAAATCCTCCAGTACTTACTGAACACATCCAGCTCCCTCATCAGGTCGTCTCTCTCTCCGGTCACGTTCCTGTGATCGGACTCAATACCTGGAAGACGATGCAGAAAACTGGAGTTTAGAAGAAATTATTCAGCGCACAAACCAATGCTTTATTGCAGTAAGTTGTTCTCTGACTGGTCATAAACACTTGTATTTTCCTCTCTGAATAGCAGTGTGTGTAATGAATATCATACTTACTTTGGATGGTTTGGATCAGTTTTTTACCCTCTTCAGTCAGATTTTTCAGGCTGGCCTCAATGTCTGCAAGACATTTCCACGATATTAAACACAATTCCCTACGCCGTGCTGCCTTTTAGCTAAATACTTCATTAACATAGTTTGATAAACATAAAATAATTTCTTGTGAATTTATTTTTTTCATCTTGAACTTTGAATTTGAAATAAAAAAAAAATAACTGCAGAAAAGCTAAAGGAAAACAAATTCCCACCTGAAATCATATAGAGTGTCATAAATATAGGATTAATGAATTAATGTTTTAGCTCAAACAGTGAAACATTGTTCTGTTGCATATAAAAGTCTCATCAAATGGACTGATAATTCATATTTCTTGCTCTTCCTATCAGATTGTTTACATGTTATTGTATCTTGACTAAATAAATACTTCGTGATGCGATAAATGACTCTTAATTACAGTCAACAACAAACTTACCAGAGTTTAACTTCTTCAACTCGTTTCTCTCACTGGTCAGGGAACTGAGATGTAAAGCTGTTATTTGATAGAAACAATTACGTCACATTATTGCCATTGTGTGACCCACAAAATGTGTGCAAATATGTCAGACCAGTTGAGTTTCTTAATTTATATGCTGAAATATGCAAGGCTGATGGCTTTAAAGGTCCATATTACCACCTGTTTGGTCGCTTCTCGTTTTATTTTCTTATATTTACCTACCAAGGTTGTTGAGATTTTTCCTCAGCTCGTCTCTCTCTTCAGTCAAATTTCTATTGACAGCATCAGTGACTGAAAATAAAACCATTTTAATTATATTTTAAAAATTTGGTATTGATAAACTGGACACAGGATTGCTAATGTGACTCTTGGTAAAACACTTTTATTTTCAGTTTTCAGAATTTGTAATAATAATAATAAAAAAGAACAATTTACCATTGATGGTTCTGATCAGCGTTTCTCCCACGTCGGTCAGGTTTTTCAGATTTGCCGCGATACCTGCATTAAAGTTTAACAAGTTTACCAACTTCAGCCAAATTTTATCATGTCACTCCATAAAACTCACAGAAACATTTAACAATAAACTACAGTTTGAGGTTAATTGTTTTGAACCAAAAAAGTTTTAGGAGAACTAACGCAGTGAGCATGGATGAAACTTTATCATTTTGGGAACTGCTATGTTTACCACTTTCTGCTAAACAGCAAAGTTTCTTCTACAAAGTTAAAACGCAGCATTTAACATGTTTGACTTTTGATCAGAAGTTGAACCTCGAGGCTGAAGTTGAGCACAGAAACTTGATAAACTTGTGGCTAATTTCCCTAGGAAACATCCTGGAGGAGATGAATTCGCTCTGCAGCGGCGTTGTTGTTAAGATGGCTGGAAGAGCAGCGGGAAAAACCTGGAAAATATTACTGGCTGTTTTCCAAATGAAACAAGGTCTAATGAATTTACCCAATCAAACTGCCTTGAAGGGACTAGAGACTATAATGCAGCTTGATCCCATGTGTAAGGAGTCTTAATCAATACACAGTCATCAGCACACTTACCAAGATTGATCTCCTTCAACTCGTCTCTCTCCTCAGTCAGGAAACTGAACTCTAAAGCTGTTGTCATGAGAGGAAATGTTAGTCTCACTACTGCCAGTCATCGCAGCACATCTACAATTCGTAGCAGAAATGTTTAAGAATCCTACACATTCAGATAAAAGATTATTTCTTGAGCTGTGCAGTGTTTCTTTTTGTTAAAACTGAAACCTGCGATGTGTGTGCTAACAGAGAGGGTTTGAGGTCTCTCTGTTTTAATGACTCACTGAGGTTTTGAAGCTCTTTCCTCAGCTCATCCCTCTGTTCAGACACATTTTTGTTTTCGGCTTCAGTACCTGGAAAATGAAAACTCCTCGTAATAATAATAGTGACAATTGATATTTTATTTTGCATTCACAAACCAGTTTCTTGGATTTCTGCCATAAATGTGATCAAAGTCATCTTAAATGTTTCCTCTTTGTGTAAGTTTAATATGTGTGAGCAGCACTGACCAGCTTACCTTCGATGGTTCTGAGCAGCATTGACCTCTCTGCAGTCAGATTTTTCAGACTGGACAAGAAACCTAAACGACAATTTCACCCTTTTTTTTTTTTGCTCTCTTAAAAGTGAATGCAATCTTCTTAAGATGCTTATTTTTTAAATTTGTAAAATAATGTCAGTCTGATTGCTACATGTAATTTGACATATAAACTGTACATTTCAAGTCACCATGGCATTCCCACCACCATGCTTGACTTATCTTTGACGTAAGGATAAGTGTGATTGCAGCCACACATGATTGCTCATGATCTGAGCTCTGACAGGCTGACCCCTGACCTCTTCAATCTCTGCAGCAATGCTGACAGAACTCCTGAAGCTATCTTGCAAAGACAACATTTGGATGTGACACTGAGCACGCGCACTGAGCTTCTTCGGACGACCAACTCGACGTTTATATATTAACAATTACATTAAATGCAATATAATTGTTCGCTATCACACAGACTTGCCCAATAGTCAAACTTACCAAGGTTGGTCTTCCTTAGTTCGTCTCTCTCCTTAGTCAGAGAATTATGTTGTGAAACTGTAAAAACAGTGACATGTTTGGTAAAATGTTTTTTTGTTTTTCTCTTACTGTTGTGAATAACGTCTAATATTTTATGTAGAACATTATGAATAACATGAAATCTTTACTTTTTCACTTTCCAGAAACTGTACAGCTTCTGATCTGGGACTTTCACAAGCTTCACTCTGAGACTTAGAAAACGTCAACATTTTATTTTTATATTTCATGTTTTCTACATCAAGATTTGTTATTTTTCTGCAGCCAGAATGAGTTAATTAAATGAGTTCATTTCTTCAGCATTTGTGTTCGCTCTAGATATGAGTTGACCCCTTTGCTTTAACTATGTAATTTAATTTGGCCCTGTTTTCTCTTTATGGGTATGTTTAAATCTACTGTAACAGTGTAATTTAATATCAGTGTTTAATGTTGTTGGGACTTTATGGTCTGTGGTTGGTGTATATTTCATAATCATGCTTACCAACGTCGCTTAGATTCCTCCTCAGCTGCTCTCTTTCTGCTGTCAGGTTTTTATTCCTGGCACTGAGGCCTAAGACAAAATCAGTCAATTACACAGATTACTCTATTTTTTGTTTCTCCGTACCAATCAGACATTTCTTCCTATTTTAAAAAATGTTTGCCGATATTTTCTATGAAACTGGCAAACTCAAACTAACTAAAAATAACCTTTGGACAAAGATCTCTACTTCATGTTGCCTGGATTCCTGCATTCAGACTTTCATTGCCAGCATCATTTGTTCATTATGCTCACCAGAGTTCAGTGTCTTCAGTTCATCTTTCTCCCTCTCAATCAGACTCTTATTGCTGGAAGCTGCTGCTGGGCAAAGAGGAGTCGTTTTATGTTTTTCACGCCACCAGATTGCATGCATTTGATGCAAACTCTTTAGGAGTTTCCAAAACTCCTAAAGTGAAATTGTTTTTTTTTACATGTTAAGACTATTGAGTAACTCTTGTGGGTTTTATAGTCTGTTTCGCAAATGTAAATGTTGCAGGAGTCACTTCCCTGTAACAGAACTGAATGAGTCAAACGTGAGACATGAGGGTTCATGGGATGAGCGTTTTATTTTTCCTCTCAGGCTGAAATGCATCCTAGGTTTTCTTCAGAACTGTATAAATGTGGTTTTAATGAATGAGATACAAAAAAACAAAAAAAAAAACACAAACACTTTTTCTGCATGTCATGTGAGGCAATTTACCAGCACGTGACATCCTAAAACAGAATTTCTAAATCAGAATGTGAATCGTCAAGGTTTACTTACAAAGAGCAAGAGAAACGGAAAGACTGAGCTGCAGCAGGCACAAAAGTCCAAAGGTGGCTGCGACCAACTTGTACCGCCGAAGTTCTGTGAAAACACGTGTGGATGATTTAAATCGCCAAGAGGACATCAGAGCTAACATTGCAAATTCATCCACTGTGAAGGATTTCACAAGAAAGTCTCAGCAAAAAAAAGAAAGAACAAAAAGCAAAGCAGGTTTTTATCCTAAGTTAATACTTAGGATAAAAACCCAAAAGTTTTCATAGATGAACTTGAGGCTCTTGATAATTACCAATCAAAAGATTTGATTTAAGATTTTTTACAATTAGTTTTTTTTTTGTGACGCAGATTTTGTGCCCAACAAATAAAAATCAACACTTTTTTTTTACTTTTATGATTTTAATATTTTTTCTATCTAAAACCGACATAGTATAAAAATATGCTTCTTTAGTTTCACGTTATTTGCCATTACTGTTCAATGTAGCAATAGAACAGAGTAAGCTGCCGTAAATAAATCATGTTTTAAACCGACCTGGCAAATTATTGTTGAAGAAACATCTTCTTTTCTCTTACCTGAAGTGGTTTTACCGTCATTATCTGAGCAGCTCTCCGGTCCATCGTCGCTGGCATAAAGAGCATCGCTGAATTTCTCGTACGCCACAGGACGCTCAAAGTGCTCTCTGCGGAAAACCATGTCTGTTTTTGTTTTTTTTAGATAGCAAGGTCTCGATATATAAGCTCTGCCGAAGACCACCTTTGGTCCTTAATGCGTCTACAAGCAGAGATGCTGAAGCAATCTTCCAAAGAATGAGGAAGATTTCTTCCTCATTCTTTGGAAGTGTAACTATCCCACCATCATAGCTATACAATAATTGAGAATTTTTGCTGGACTTGCAATATGTGTATGGTCTGTGTGTTAACTGAAAACCTCACAGACCAAGTACTCATAGTAGTAGTGAATCATTTTAAGCTAAGACAGACTGTATTGGTCTCTCAGACTGAAGATTTTATTTAATTTAAAGACCCACAACCCAACTTTACCCCAGTTTAATTGTATAATTGGCTCTAAACCCAATAACTGCTCATGGTTTCAATAGATGCAATCAAGTATTTCTGTTAACCGGCAATATAACGTCTGCGTTCTTGTTAAGGAATTTCATCCTCCCGCGTTTTGCAACGTTGTTTTAATTTGCCCACATTAATCTAAGCTTAGGTCAAAGCTTCTCGGTTGGATTTATATCCAGACTTTGATTAGACCACTATGGTACCTTGGATTTCTTTCCATCCAGAGGTTGATTTAGTTGCTTGTTTTGGCAAATGTGAGTTAATGTTTTCTGTTCAAGCTCTTTATCGTTGAAAAGAACTGACTTTGTTTCAAACCAATTCCTGAGTTTCACTAGATCAGCACATGGTATGTTTTTGAGATCTTTTATCCCATGTCATATTGTCAGACAGGCTGTGTTTAGATAAAACGCAAGAACCACAAGACGCGACTAATCAAAAACTCTGAGAAAGCTTTGCAAGACGCAGCAGAATTACTTGCTCTTCCTCTTTTAATTACTGCAAACTCGGTTGAATCATTCGAAATTGACATGCAATGGAGTTGCACTGTTACTGTTAATTATAAGGTTTCTTTTTAATAAAAAATAAATACAGGCAAAATTTTTACTCTAAATGGGGAAACAAGTTGATTATACATAAACCCAGCTGATCTTGCAGCAGAGTAACCTTATTTCCTTTACACACTCAGGACTGATAGTGACAATTTTTTCAGAATTGTTGACATATTTAAAATGTGGAATCAGCATTTATTAGATAAGCTTTAATTACTGCACAGTTGAACTGATGAGTTGCTCTATGTTTTGATTGTATTTTGACTTAAAGTGACAGTGTGCAATGTTTACAAAATATATATGTATATTTTTGAATATTTATTAAAAACTGTGACCTTGTCCTAACAGTGAAATATTTGATTGGTAATCTGTGACAAGACTAAATTCCTCCACTTGCTCCCTGAGTTTCTATTGCTGTCTGCAGAAATGCATTGCTTCCAGTCAAACTCAACCAATTTCATTTAAAAATGAAATAAAACAGCACTTTGGTGCAGTTTTACACCTGTTTTTAAAGTGCTACATAAATAAATTTGGCATTGACATGATTATCCTGCAGGACAGCTGTCCTTTAGTTTACTGCCTGACTTTTAGTCACCAACTTGTTATGGACTTCTGGAGGAGAGAGGCGTTTGAGGCTTAGGGTCATGCCAGTCAGAGCAGGTCAAGATGTTAAAGAAACGCCGTGATCAACTGTTCCTGGTGATTTGTTTGGAGAATCTGGTGTTTTCTTTGAGTCAGTATTGTCTTCATCTGCCATCTTAACCACTCAGCAGCATTCAGCTGTTGTGCATCACAAAGCTGGAACAAACGTCCAGAAAGCTGCAAAACAGCTGAAACACTGACTTCCTTTAAAATAAGGCTAAAAGTTGCATTTGATTAATAGTAAGTTAAACATTGATTTGCTTGAAAATTTTAAGGGTGACATATGACAAACTGTAATGTTTACTGCATGTTTTGTAATTCTTGCTGAAATGTGCTGTGCATACAAACCTGACAATCAAACCGATGTACATAGAATAGAATAAGATCATTGTGTCCGTTCATAAACACTCAAATCTCTGGAATTTAATGTTGTTGCACCTAACTGCATTAGTTCTGAAATCAAGATTGTAGCTCGAGTTGGTTCAGAGAAACTTTCTTTTCAGTGTGGTGAGGGTAAAACTTAGAAACACCTTTCATTACACGCTCTTTTCTTCTTTGACTGAACTTTCGAAATGTGACTGCAAGCATAAATTGGTGAGACTTTTTGAAATGATGGGATACAATTGTAACTTTTCTTGATCGAGTTGAGAGCAAAAAAAAAAGAGAATGAATGATTCTTCACACTTTTGACATTTTTTATTCCTTTGAGCAAACAGATTCATAATTACTGAACTGTCCTGTATTTTCCAGTACTTATTGGCAAATATTCAAAATTGTTAAAACCTTTCTGAACAAATCTGTTTTTAGCATAAAACTGGCCTGAGCAGGAAGAAATAAATATCAGCACTTTGATTTTGAGGACATTGATTAAAAACACATTATGTAACAAGAATTAATTTAACAGAATGAGGGAATCTAAAACATGCCACAGCCGTGTAACCGAAAGCAAAAATTTTGCAACAATAAATGCAACTGCAAGCACTACTATTAGGAGAGCGACATTTCACAAATCCATTTAAGTGAGGCAGAACATGCTCTATCATTCCAGCTTCTCTCTGCGGTGAAAGTCTTTATAGCACCACAGTTTTCATCTCTCTTACCGTTTGGCTCACCGTCTGGCCAGTAGCTAAAAAAATCAGAAAGAACCAAGATTAAAATCTTTGTGTGAATGATGTGACAAAATATTTTCATGTTGTGATTAAAAAAAGCAGAGAGGTAAAAATAAATAAATAAATAAAAGATTTGTTTAAAGTATAAACAAATTAACCTTGTGGTCAGTGGACTCCCATCCACCCATTTCCAACTTCCCTCCGTCTCTGAGTCAGTCAGGCCGATCCACATGTTCGTCTGGAAACTGTTCGCAAAGTCCTAAGAAACAAAGATCATGAGTCAACTACAGGTCGAATCTGATGTTAACGACATCTGCTTTCATCTGCCTTTGTACCTTTAACTATAATTAAGCTTGTCAAATATCTATCAAGCATGCAAAAGCACATTTGCCCACAAACCTGTTTTTCTTTGCTGTTGATAACCATCAGGTCTGCACCTAAAGACTGACAGTAGGTTCTACTTTCCTGCCAAGTCTTTTCTGTAAAAGAAATGTAGAACGCACCGCCTCTGAAAATCCTCCATCCTAGTTGAACTTTTTGGGGAAAAATGAGAAATTTAACTTGCTGTTAAAGATTACAACTTGTGGCAAAAAACAGAAAACAGAAAATAGAAAAAAAAAGTCAAACATTCAAGTGCTGACTGACTATATCCACTGTCAAGTAAATGTAACTATGGAAATATGAAAGTTCAGATTGGGATTAGCAAGTTTATGAGTTTACAAAATATCCAAAGCACTGAACTACCAGTTTCATTTAATTGTTTTTAAAATTTGTCTGACTTTTATTTCTTGGTTCAAGACTGAGGATCACACATTTTTTTCATGACAATTTTAGAATTAGTGAATATTTACACATGTTTTCTCCCATGCATTCCCACCTGTAATGTTGAGGCTCTTCTTCAGCTCATCTCTTTCTAGCGAGATTGCTGTTAATCTGGCCTCAGTTTCTGAAAAACGATGAGAATTGTTCATTAGAAAATATATAGTTATATATTTTTCTTTTCTCTATCTTAGTTTTGTCTGGACTTTGAAAAGGGTTTAATTGTGATACTTACCAGAGTTTATCCTCGTCAAATTGTCTCTCTCTTCAGTCCAGGAATTCTGCTTCGAAACTGATTCTCAATAAAGTATTGAGGTAAAATTGTATTGGTAGAAAACCTGTTACACATTATCTTTATACTTCTTGGTAGTTTTACTGATACTTTATTTTTTATACCAACCCAAGTCATTCAGTGTCTTCTTGAGTTCACTTCTCTCTTCTGATGAGTTTCTTCTTCTCACTTCCATATCTGAAAATTTTGATCATCTTCATTAAAAATATATCAGTTATCAGTTCTGAAGCAGAAACATGAGTTGAATGAAAACAGACCACAACAACTCTTAATTATATAACAAGACACAAAACAAAATTGATCCCAACTAGAAGTTATCAAGCACCAGCAGAAAAGCTCCATCGGCAGCCAAACTTATGTGCAGTAAAGTACAGAAGCGTTCACTCATCTGCCCTCAGATGCTTGTAGAAATGAGTGACATCACAGTCTCAATCCACAAGACTAAATAAGATCTTGCCCTTCCACCCTTTGGGCAAGTCAGCAAACAATCGTTTCCCAATAGCCGAGGGTCCAGACCCTCTGCACAAAGTAAAGTGTAGAACAAGAGGCTGGTTGTTACTAGCAAACCGAGAGTTGTCAGTTTGGATAGCCTGGCAGATAATCCTGATTTCTTACTGAGGAAAACACGTCTTAGCTGACGTGTTTTCAGTGGTGGCGTACTTTACACCCATACAGCTTTCGTTTTGCAGTTGTCTTGGTGATGTAAGGCTGGTGAGCTGTGCTCAAAACACTTTAAGGGTAAAAATTTGCGATTGGAGTTATTCCAAAGATGGCATCCTATCACAATACTAGACTGGAATTCTCTGAGGTAAAGAGCTACCAACTTTTTCACAAAGGTTCGTAGAAGCAGACTGCACACCGATGTGTTGGATTTTAAACACCCCCGGCCATAGAAGTGGTTGAAAAACCTGAATTCAACAACAACATGTGACACTATAATGTATTTTATGATGCAAACACTATCCAGAATTTGTTGTGCATCAAAATTTCTGAGTGACTATCTGCATTAAAAGGCGTTGTTTAGAGACGTGTGACGTCTGAGCCGAATTGTAACGTATCGGTAAAATGTTAGGCCATGTGTGGTCAAGGTTACTTACGGCAAGCAAGGTAAATGATAAGACCGAGCAGAAGAAGAGCCAGAAGTCCAAAGGCAGCTGTGCCAACTTTGTACAGTTGATCTCCTGTGTAAAAACATGTGGAGTGATATAAATCACCTCAGAGATATAAACCATATAAACCATATAAACCAAACCAAAAACCATATAAAATATAGAAAGACAACAAAGCTAAAAATGTCCTTCTAAGGAAATACATTATTATTAAAATTATTATTATTTAAAATTGTAGTTACTGAGAAACAAAATAGTTTAAATTGTGATATACTATTCATTTTTCAGGTGTTTATTGCTTTATGATGTTAAGAGAATAATTAGATGAAAAATGGGAGAAAAACATACTTCAAACAAAATATTTGATGCAAAGACTTTCAGCAGCTGAAAAGCTGCTGAAACCAGGAGTTTGCATTATAGCACCAAATCGTTTCAGTCATTTTTTTCATTGGGAAACCATATCAAATGTAATCTGATTTACAAACACTCACTTTTCTCTCCTCCTGAATTACCTGAAAGGTTCCTGAATGGTTCTGCACATCTTTTGTCCAAAAAGACTCTCCAGTTGGCTACAGAAGAAGCTGTGTGACGGCAGCCGTCACAAGGAAAGAGAAAACACGACTTTAAAGCTTCATGCACTGCTGCGAAGCAAGTAAAAATGTATTTATACAGCGCCACAAGAATATAAAAACAGACATAAAAGGTAGCAGTTAAGTTAAACCTTGTTATGAATGTATTTTTCAGACGTTCCTAAAGACTATTTGAGCATTTCTGAGCTGTAAATGTCCCATGTTCCAAAACTGGCGCCAAAATTATTGCTGAAGCCGATTTTTCTCTTACCGGATGCGGCAGAAGAGGCGTTGCTGTCTTCACCTGAGTGGGTCTTTGAAATATCGTCGCAGGAAACAGGATTGATGATATTACCATATATAGCAGACATTTCATGTTGGTCTTCATGCAAAGCCATCTTGGATTAACTGACCAGCCTCAAATAATTTATTTGTTACAAGAATTTCTTCTTCAACTCGTTTAAATGAAATGTTTGATTTAATATTGCTCAGTGCTGAAGACTAAGTACAGCAAGCGGTGATATTGAAGTAATTCTCCTTTTATTGAAATCGTCTTCCTCATTCTCCAAATGATTGGAAATGCAAAAAGAAAAAAAAAATTGAGGAAGAAGGAAATTGAAGATTTCAGCAAATATCTTGCCTCGTTTGAAAAGTTCATGTCAAGGAGGGATCAGAGGTCACGGCGAATTTATAGATTCACTGTACTGGAAGAAAGCAAACTTCTTGTTTCTGTTTACTGGAAACTGCGAATTCGGTGTCATTTATGGAAAAACTAATTTAATCATTCCTGTTTTCAAATTCTGTTTGTAGAAAACATTTTAAAATAATGTTGTTTTGAATCACTTTACGGTAACATACTTTGAAGTTTTGTAATTGCATCCCGGAAAAATTGGGGGGAAAAAATTGAAGATTTGCAAATAGTTTTGCAAGAGACTTAATTAAGAGTCAATTGTATGTTTTTGCTTGTTGAGTAGAAACTTAAAAGGAAACATTTTATATATAAGCATCATTATTTAAAGTCAGTAATGTAGTTTACTGTAAAATTTGACTGCCAATTTGCAGGAAATTAATTTTCATGCTAATTTAAACGGCTAATTCCTGTCATCATGGAAAAATAATATATCATGAGAAAATATTTTATATCGCTATTTTCACCCTGCAGTTTGTATAAAGTACCTATTTTTCATTTAGCTTAACCAATTCTGATGATTTTTTTTCTTCAAAATTGCTGAATTTTCGCATTTTAATGTTCAAATGCTTGGAAGCGAAGCTGGTGAGGCAGCAGCGATTGATCACCTGAGATTGATCAACCTGCCATTCTATGAAAGGATGCTCCTCCTGTCGCTACGTCGCCAATAAAATGGCTGAAAAACATTTAATATATGAACTGACTTTCCATCACTTAGCTCATGTATACATTGTACTGTGTTTTATGTTGACCTGCGCTTCTTACAGTATTGATATTCAACATAGTCTGTGAGTCACTTGTTTTTGTCCCATATACGATCATCTCTTGTGAACTTTTTCTCCATATCTATGCATCGGAGCGATAATTTTGCTTGTTCAGTCAAACGTTTGTTTTATTGCTCTTGTGTCAGCAAACATAGTCGGTCCTGGAAACGGAGAGTGGGTAAGAAATAGATGAGGTCTGGAAAGCTTGTTTCTTTTATCAAACCTTTTTTATTATAACTTTTCTAGTCCTTTTTTGCTGTATATACACATACTGATGTGGGAACTGGTAATATTTTGCCAAGTTAATGCCATAAGTAGAACATTTAAGTTTAACAGCTGGCACTGTTAAAGTTACATTGTCACATTTCTATTTAACAGCGCAAAATTTTTGAAACCATTGTCTTGTATTTGCCTTATAATTATTAGACTTGCTGGTTTCTGTGCAGGCCAGTGTGTTTCCACACCAAGTAATCTCTTTATGCTAAGAAGACAGCAGGGGGCGCTAACTCCTCATTAACCTCACAAGCATGAAAACAGAAGTAAACTTAAGTAGCAGCTGACAGAGCAGATAGTTTTTCATCTGGTGCTTGTGCTCCTCTTCCTCTGTTGTCACCCCAGGCAACTGATTTGGGAGGCGAGAGATGATACAAGGAAGCAACGAGGAGCAAAACACAACAGGACATCAGAAAACATGAGTGAAATACAGATCAGATAATAAGTAATAGACATAATAAAACTAAAATAACCAGACTGAATTAAATCAAAACCAAAACGAGGCTGATTTGATCGAAAAAAAGGCCCAGCTGAGGCAAACACAGAACAAATCATCAAAACTATTAAACGAAAAAACCCAAAATTCTGTCTGAGCTGAACGAGCCCTTAGAACAAGGAATGTGCACAGAAATCCGGTGTCTGGAGCTTCAAATGTGATTATCCACAGAGACTTTCTGCGTATTTGTCTTAACATGCAAATAAAATGAGGTTTTTATTCGGCTGTCACAACAATTTTTCTTTCTTAGAATAATGAAAAGAATAAATAAATAAAGCACAAAACCATGTTTACTTCATGTTAATGTGTTAATTACCTGGAGAATTTAGATTGACTTTCATTCTTTTATTGCAAGAATAATAGAAGATAGTGGAAGTTGTACAAACAAATATATATATATAAAGCAATAACAAGCCCAAAAGCACAAATGTTGTGTTAATATAAAAAAATGCATTAGAATAATTTGTAATAATAAATTAGCTGCTGAACAACAGATGTGAGAGGAAAAACATTAATGGTTGATTTGCGATCAGTAGGATGTGTAAGTTTGAGATGCAGTAACTATGACACAGCTTTCGAAATAAACGCTCTTTATATTTTCTGATCATTTTATAACCTGTTGGTGAACAAACTGACAAGATTTCACTAAAACCGAAAGCTTTACTTTCGGTCATTGTTTACTCCATCATTATTCACAGCATTTACCAAAAATAAAATCGTTGCTATGAAGCGATCGCCTTCACTTTCAAAACAATGTTCTGCATAAATCAAACGAGACCCTGCTTCCAATCCAAAACCCAACAGGCTCCTTTTCCAAATGATTAAAACCGGGACTCCGGCTTTTCATTCCCGGTTCCAAGTTAAGACTTCAGGTTCGTTTGAACTTCCCTCGACTCGGTTTGGGTTTTATTTACGGAGCCACGTTTTTCTCACAGATCCAGTAGTTTTGGTCTTCACACGGTATGTCATTCCAGCTGTTTTCCAGCTCAAAGAACCTTATCTCCACACAGTTTTCAATTTTGCCTTCGAAACCGTTTGGCTCTTCAGGCCCCCAGTAGCTGAAACCAAAAGAAGACAAGACACGACAACATCAATGGCAAGAAAAGGTGTTTTAGTGAAAAGGACCAACTGACATGTTAGCATGCATCCTATTTTTATTCATGTTGATTATTGAGATTTAATCAACAATTCCTACATTTTTTTTTGCTTCACAAAACAGAAAAATGGTAAAAACAAACAACAACAAAAGAAACCCACTTTTTGGTCAGCTCAGTCCCATCCACCCATGTCCACTTCCTCGTCTTGGTGTCATTATGGAGTCCGAGCCACGTGAGTCTGTTAAACTGTCTTGTGAAGTCCTTACGCAGAAAATGAAGCACGCATTTACTTAATATAATTGCCCAGTCATTTTATTTTGAATGAAGACACATTTACCTGTTCTTCTTTGGTGTTTATAATCACCAGGTCAGCGCCTTGGCGCCGACAAAACTGTCTGCTCCGCAGCCACGTGCTCCTGGCGAAAGAGATGTAGTACACACTGGACTGGAAACGCACCCATCCCTGCTGGATGTACCGCTCTGTTGAGGGGAAGAAAACTCTTCAGACTCTTTTCACCAACACTTTGTGTGCACCAGAATTTGTTTTACAAAGCTTTCAAAGGTTTGAATCAAAAGATGAACTAATGCGGTGTAAGTCTAAATTAAATGGTCACTTTATTTGAAGGTGTGTGCATAAGACTGACTTGCCTCTGTCAAAAACATGACATAAGATCTGTCTTTGTGACTCGGTAAATAATGACACTTTGAATGCAAAGTTCACCATTTTCAATGACTTTTAACACAAGTTTTAGAAACATTTTGGATTAAAAGTGTCATTATCCACCGAAAGACACTTTACGGCAACAGTCGTATATATTCATAAAGACTCCTTCATGATCCTGACAGGCGTTATGTCACGATAATGACTGTGTCTTATGAACACCTTGTCAAATACAGTGTCACCAACTAAACTTCTCATCTGTTTCAGTTTGTCTTAGAGCTTCATTGATCCAAAGTTATGAGTAATTATGAACTTCTTCCAGATGCTTATACCACGTGTTTTTTATCTGCATTGTTTAGAGATCTGAGCAACGTCATTTGCAGGGTGGAAGAGAATTGAGCACAATTTAAATTGATCGTGGTAAAGACCATGAGAGATAAACAACAGAAAATACTATGAAGATGTGTCCTCAATAGTTATTTTACATGCTGTTGGCGTTACCATTGTTGAACTCAGTAGCTATGGGTTTTCCCCATAATGAGTTTCATCATCATCCACATCCTCATCATCATCACACTTACCGATCAGCTGACTCTTCTTGTCAGTTTCATTTCTGCAAGTTGTTGATGTCTGACCGTCAGGTTTGACTGAAAGAGAAGAAAATGAATCAAAGTTGTGAAAACAGACATGTGACTAGAAAAAACAAGTGAGCTGATGCTATGTGGGAGTCTGAAGTTCATTTTAAGAAGAAAATAGTGAAGCATTAGCCAAGTGGAAAACCCCCATCCTCTCAGTCTGCATAGTTCCTCTGACTTTTCACAAGTTTGGCAACAGTTTGTTATTCTTATCGTCCTGAAGTGGACAGAAATGTGTAAATGATGCCTTTTTTATTAATCAGTAATGGATGTCATTTTGGAAACATGTTTTTATCCTTCTCTTGTTTATTTTCTTAATCCAGATACAACTTATTGCTGATAAAGCACAAAGCTCTGCTGTCACAGTGATATAGGTGTAAAACTCACACAGTGTCAGGCGGAGAGAGACGTTGACAGCAGCTTGTAGGAGGCAAAGGAGTCCAAAGCTGACTCCAACCAGTCTGAGTAGCTTTGTCCCTAGATACAGAAACAGGGTCACAATAACAGAGAAATTGTTCTGTTGCATCTTATGTCAAATGTTTGTTTGTCTGTGTGTGTGTGTGTGTGTGTGTGTGTGTGTGTGTGTGTGTGTGTGTGTGTGTGTGTGTGTGTGTGTGTGTGTGTGTGTGTGTGTGTGTGTGATTGTGTTGCTATGCTAAGCCTGACACACTCATGTAAGTCAAAAGCAAACATAAGTTTCATCCAGTCATTTAATAAATCTTAAATTGTGCTTGGAGGCTATTCTTAATGTTACAGTAATTGACAAATAATGAAAAAAGTGTGTTTAAAATGAAATCTAAAAAAGTAAAACATACTTTTCAACAGAGTTTTTTTTCCTTACCTGGTGCAGGACGGTTCCCTTGGTCTACTCCTCCAGCAGCCGTTGTAACTGCAGGCTCAGGCAGATTCACGTAGTCCATGCTGAACTCTGCTGGCTCTCTGCGGACAACTCCTGGCATCTTACCTTCAGAGCGCCGCCGTGAGACAACCGGCAACAAACTGCTTTTCTTGCATAACACTAGAAAACAACTGTCTTCTTCTTTTGTTCGTTTCACAACAACGACAAGACTCGATTTTTCTTCCTCTTTCAGGCACCTGACTCATTTCTCCCCTTCTGGGTCAAAGGTCAGAAAAAGACACATTACTTCATATAAACCATACTTAAGAAATACATGCTCCATGATGATCGTACCAAGACAGCCTTCGTTTTTGTTGTGTTAGAACATTTTAATCACCTCTAACGAGAACGTTTGGTTTATTCTCTAATCTGATCTACGAAACAACCTGATCAATGAGAGCATTAGGACAACGTTGAGTTTGAAGCTTCTTTATTCTTCATAAAAAACAAAACAAAAGACATGGAGTAAGATAAACAGGAACATTTTAATAGTAGACAGAAAAGAGAACAACATCACAGCCTCAGGATTTCCTCACTTCCTTCGTCGCTCTCATCTTCCATAACTCAAAGCACAACCTTCATGAAGTAACCTCTTCAAAAAGGGAGTTTTTTTGTTTTTCAATTCCATTTCTCAGATATTTTTTTACTTCTTATGGATTTGTTTTTGTTTTTTTGTTTCCTGCTTCACGGAAACATGCAACATGTTTGTGAAATTGAAGGATGCAACTGGCAAAAAGCAAGTGGAGGTGAAACCTTCATAAATCTGAAATCATGGGCAAAAATGCTGGATTCTTTGAGCCACAGATTCAACAAGGTGGTCAAAATCATTCGCCAGAGACGTTTGGTTACCATTGGCATCGTCACGCAGCGGCTGCAGATTTGAGAACCTCCACTCTGCTGCCTCGCTGTGTGCGTCTCATTGAACACTTGCTGACTTTTAGAAATGTAAAATGTTTCAAAGATATGTGAAATCGGTACCAGTCACGATCTGGGAGAGTTTGAAAATGGCAGGGTTTTTTGTTTTGTCTTTAATATCATAAACTACAGTTGTTAAAGCCTCAAAGACAAATAATAAGTACTGACATTGATTCAGCCATGTTTTCTGCACGGTCATTTCAATTGTATGCGTTCTCAAAGTCAAGATTTGGTCTGTGAAAAAGGGGATCAACAGCTTGTCACAATGAAGATAGCTTTTTTGTTTGTGCAACAACAGGTTTGCTTTGAATAGCCATAAATAGATAGCAATAAGTGGCAAAGGAAATGAACAAAATAAGCAATTTGGCTCAAAATGAACAATTCGGGGCTCCGCCTGATTATCAGGAAATAATTGTAAAGTAGTTTCGTCTCAGTCATTAATTAATAATTACCTTCTTGAGTGAGGTTTGGTATTAAATATGACCGAAGAAACAGACAACCCGTCTTCAAATTTTTGGTAAATTATTAAGAAACATACAACTAAGAAAAATGACAATTTTGCTGCTTGAATAATTGTTGCCTTGCTGCAGGAAAACGTTCGCCTTGGAATTATTATGTCACCAAGAGACCAAAAGTTGGAAAAAAGAGAAAAAGATCCTTTCACTTGCATGTATAAATTATCCACTGAGTATACAGTAGATCAGTTTTATATTCCTGATAAATTATGTCAAAACAAACAAAACAACAACAAAAAACCCCACATATGCAACGAGCTTAGAAAAAACAGGTCGTGCTACATAAGAATTAAATAAATCACAGCAATGAGAAGCTGATTTATATTAAACAATTGGACTGTTGTAGTCTTGCTGTCCATTTACTACATATGGCTGCCTGTGTGCGCCCCCTGCTGGACTGAGCTGTTAATTCAGCTTTTTAAGAAACGCTCTCTGAAATGACGTCATCCTGCAAGACTTTCACTACATTTCACCAAAAACTGAAGCTTTAGTTGACACAGAAAGGACGGATTTCTTCTGTTGAATTTTTCTTTATTGATGATTTAGCAATAGAAATTACACTGCCTGTTTGCTGAAATGTGCCATGCAAAGAAGCACGACTGATGGATTGATAGAAATGAACAGAAATGATCAAAGCTTTCATTTTAAAAATACATTTGAAAATCAAAATACACAATGCTTATAATCCAACAACAACAACAACAACAAATCTGCCTTAAATTTCTGATTCATTTTCCAAGTTTTGGTTTGTTTGTTCATTTGTTTGTTTTCTGCTGTTGTTTAAAGAGCCGTTTCTTTTTCACAAATCCAAAAGTTTTCAGTGCTACAGGGCATATCGTTCCAGCTGTTTTCATTTTCGAAGAACCTCATCTCCACACAGACTTCTTTTGCCAACTTGTTTGGCTCGCCGGGGCCCCAGTAGCTTCAAACGAGGAAGACAAAAACAGGACAACATCAGAGAATCGACGAGAAAACTGTTCCAGGTAAAGAGAACAGAGCAACACAGTAACGTCCCGGGAATCTGTTAACAGATTTTACTGCCAGTAGTTTGAACACATGTGGTTTCACCTTAAACATAGCTGTTGATGCATGATGGTGCAAGTTGTTGGAAGAACATTAATGGATGCTTTTAGGTAGTTTTTTTATTTTAATGTTTAAAAAAGGTAAAAACCTGTCTGTCAGTGGAACTTCATTCACCCATATCCACTGTTCTGTCCCAGCTACCTCCTGCAGTCCGATCCAGGTCAACCTGTCCCTGGCAAGCTGTGTGATAAAGATCTTACACAGAAAATAAAAATAACAATGAATACAGAAATCTTTTGCTATGTTTGCATGTTCTTCTTATTTGTTCTGCCTAATAATCAGTTTCTTTCACGGTACCAGAAGTACCTGTTCCTCTCTGCTGTTTATGATCACCAGGTCGGCGTCCTCCTGCTGGCAGTCCGTCCGGCTCTCGGCCCAAGTCTTCTGGACGGACGATATGAAATAAAAACTGTCGCGGAAATACAGCCATCCCTTCTGGAGATACTGCCCTGTTCAAGTGTTAAAAAGTCTCATAAGCTTAATGTTTCCCCCATGCTGGAAAAGATTAAGGCGCGGGTGTCTAAAGTGCGGCTCGGGGGCCATTTTGGGGTCCCTGTAATGACTTTTTTATTTTATTTTATTGGAAGACTGAATTGCAATTCAAGAAAAGCACAAATTTGTCCTTTTAAATCGGTTTATGCAAATGGAGAGTTTTTTCTTTCACATTTAATGTGGGCAAAGTTATACAACTTTAAATAGTATTACAATCACCTTTAGGTACGACACACACTTTGCTTTTTAAACCACGTTTTTGTTGCTGTGATGTTTTCATTTTTTGTGGAACTTGCAGACCGGGTGTCTTACCTTTAATAGTGAAAATGTGCAAGGCTTTTTTCTGTTTTGAATTTACAAAATAGTCAACATTTCCGGCAACAGCTAAAAATTGTGTCTACTGTGTTAGTTTGAAATGTTACATCTCATTTATTGCCGAGCAAGTTAAAAACGAATTATTTCTTTTTGGCCCATGTAGCAAAAGCTTTGAACACCACTGATATAAAGCTTTCCACATATGAATTGTCACATAATTTCTTCTGTGTCGTTTCATAATCGTTGCACTTACTGGTCTCTTGCTTCAGCTTGCACACGTCCTCAGTCTTGTTAACGCAAATCACCTCATCTGGCGCGGGCTGAGGTTTGTCTGAAAGAATAGGACAACAAAGCTATTTGAAAGAAAATCTCTCATTAACATTCATGGCAAATGTCAAGTCTAAAGATACAGTATACATACAGAAATTATGGCGGCATCGAGTAGCTTTGTAAATTAAATGGAAAAAGAAGACAAAATGTAAAAAAAAAAAAAAAATAGACAAAAGAAAACATTGGAGCACAGAGAGCCAGATAAGAACCAAAACAGAAATCCAGGAAAAGTTGAAGGCAGGATACATAAGGAAGAGACAGGATTTAAAGGGAGGAACGAGCAAGGAGTGACTGAGAAAGAACAAGGACAACATGGCTGATTAGAAATGGGTTGTAAGTGTGAGGGACAGAGAGAGAGAGAGACACAGGGAGTGAGGTACACAAACTGGGAAACTATGAAAATGAATCTATAATAAAGAAATAGAAATAAGGAACCTAATTAAACCAAGGTAAATAAAGAACTGAATTAAGGTGAAACAGAAACAAAGCTATTCAAGTTGAAGATAGAGATTAGGAACATGGAATAACAAAACTAGAATCAAACTCCAAAACAACCCAAAAAACCCACAAAAGTTTGAAAAATGACTTCACCCTGAATTTCTCTATCAAACTTAACAGCATATTTTTTCAGGATTATTTATAATTTTGTTTGCTGTTACACTTTTCAATTCTGTAAATGCAGTTTGTAAAAAATAAATGCAATCGAAAGAACTACAAGGTTTTGCTAAAGCCTCAAACTATTAATTTCTGTCTTTCATTGCTCAACTTACACACAACCCCCCCCCCTGAATTTTAAAGTTGGATTCCTGAAAGTTTCCAGATCCAACTCTTGGTCTCTGATTGGTTTCCAGAAAAAGTGTTTGGTCTCACAACAAAGAGACCGAACACAAAAAACAAACAAACAACTCACAGAGAGCCAGACGAAGGGAAACATTGAGAGCAACTTGTAGGATGCAAAGAACTCCGACTCCAACAGCGACCAGTCTGAGCAACCTAGTGCCTGTGCAGGGGAAAAAAATCCACATTGAATATTAAACTCTTGTGTTGCTGCTTAAAACAAATCATTTGTCTTCTTCATGCAGACCGATCAGTGGAGATATTCTTCTTAAAATCCCGTAAAAGGAGGAAAAAACAAACAGCAGCGAGTTTCAATCAGTTTCTCAAAATTTGCCAAGTAAAGAAGAAACATTCTTTCAGGCAATGATGTTTCAAGGCTGCTTGGGTCTTACCCGATTCAGCGCGATTTCCCCTGGTCTCTAATTCGGGAAGGCTATTAGTGGACGAACCGGGTTGATTCACATAATCGATCTCAGCTGTGTTTCGATTAACAGCTTGCGCCATCTTACCCTGCAAGAGGAACACTGACGATGGGCAAGAGCTCAGTGGCTGAAGCTCAATGCTGCCTCTGTTCGTTTCTCAATGTGGCAACACCTTCTTCTCCTTCTCCTTTCAGACATCCTAAAAAGCATTTAGTTCCCCAGTTACAAAAAGTGAGGAAGGAAACATTATTTCAATAAAACCTTTTTGCTGTGAATCACATTGATTGTTTCACAAGTCTGAAACATAGTCATTTTTTAAAAAAATGATTCAAAATCTATTTTTCTTCCTTTGGTCATAATTGTGTTAGCTACCAGCTGCACACTGTAAGATTATTTCTACGTATTTTAAAAGGTATTTTGTTTTTGTCTGCTGGGATTTATGTTTGTACTCTTTGGGTCAGGTCTGAGCAGAAACTTCATTAAATGTGCAATTTATGTACATAAATGTATTGAACAGGGACAAAAAGAGAAAGATAATCTCATCACATGTTTTTGAGAATTGGACGGAGTTGTTTTAAAATTTGAAGGTAAAGCTGCCACTAAAGGCAAAGGTTTAAAGAAGCCTTAAAGTCGTCATTAAATCTCGACCACTTTACAAATCAGATATTTGAAACAGAACTACCTCTTCACTTTCAAGGATTTTGAAAACGTTCTTTCTTAATTTGTTTCACTAGTTCCTCACATTTGTTTGTCTCTGTGATGAATCTTCCACATTTTGAACCACAATTTCTGCTTTTGATTTTTTTTTTCCCCTTACCCGACTGTAATTACCCGTTATTCTTTTCTTTTTTACATTTGTGATTTAGGATCCAGTTTAGTTCCAGTTAGACGCGCTCTGGTAGGATTAAATGAACTTCTTCATTCACATTCCCCAGACGGATTGGTCCATATCGACATTTTGAGGTGTTGACTTTACAGTCGTGGCGTGAGCCTGCTGTCCCGTCACATCTCACTGGTCAGAAGCTACAGAGGCCATCAGATTCTATAAGCGAAGACCTTCAGCTTAAACACTTTGTCCAACACATTTCCGCCTGCTGTAGCCCACCCAATCTGAGACCACATGGTCAAGAAACATTTTTCAAAAGATGCATTGTCCAAGTTTATTGAGCCTGAGTAGATCATGGCATCGGTTTTCTGTTCTTTGCTGGAGGAACTATCAGCAGGTGCAGTCTCTTTCTGCTGTAGCCCAACCGCTTCAGGACTGGAAACGCTCTGTGGTTAGAGCATTGTTATGCCTATATTTGGTCATTTTATTTGGCCTGCCCACTCTCCTGTCTTCTGGAGGCGTCTCAGTTCTCTGCCAACCACAGGAAATGACATAAAATATCAAAAGTTACCAAAAGACACAGGCCAGCCACTCTGGGCCCCAAAAAAAACATTTCATGTTCAAAGTCGCACAAATCCTCTTGCTTCTCCAGTCTGACGATTGGTTTGATCTTCAGTCGTCTTTATTGTGTTCAGAATGAATGTTCTCGACCGACTGATTCACTATTTCAGCAACAACAGATCAGGCCTAGGCATCGAACTTATTGATTTCAGCTGCACAGGTAATAAACAATATTTCTCATGAATGCGTGTCATCTCTTTATCTATATGTCTGTTTGTGTGCCTGGGAAAATTTACTCCCTATGACTTACATTTTGCCATATTACATCCGCACATTCAAAGGAGGCCAATTTGTGACACAAAGGCATCTATCTGTGTGCGTGTCTGTGATACATGACAAATTACGTTACTTTTATCTTCTCTGTAAGCTTGTTTCTTCCTCTTTTCTTACCACTTCTAATTTTGTCTTTCCTCGTTCTTTAATGATGCACCAAAAGCAGGAGGATGACATCATTCAGTGTCTAACAGCTGATGAGGTTGGGTCAATGCGCAGACCAGGGATGAGAGACTATGTCAATGAGCAGCCGTACGGGGAAGCGAACTCTTCAGGTAACACGAAATATTACAAACATCTTCATTGTAGCTTATTAATTTAAATGTATATTTTCATTTAACTTGCAGAGAGGAGACGCTACCATCTGCTTCTCCTCAGCATCGGCGCGCTATGTGTCATACAAGCCGTTCTCAATTTGTCGCTTCGTCTTACACGTGAGTGTCACTTCTTTGTTTCATAGAGTGTAGATAAAAGAAAAACAACAACAAAAAAACATAACAGTCATAACAGTTAGTTTCTTCTTTTCTTGTTTTTCTTCTTTTTTCTTCTCAGTTCACTCAAACAAGATCGCACCCAGCTCAGCTTGCAACATATCCGAGTTTAGTGCCGAAAACCACAAGATGGCGGATGACACAGAGTGTGAGCAAATGAAGCCCGGTCAGTGCAGAAAGTTCTTGGAAATCGTCTGTGCCTTGAAGAGAGACAGACGTACACTTGAAAAGACAAACAGTCAACTCATGAAGAAAATAAAGACAGTAGAGGAGGAGAGAGACCGGCTGAAAATGAATGTCTGCAGGTATCCCTTGCTGGAGGCATAAGCAAACCAAGCAGCTGCTCAGGACCCTGAAGTAGAACATGGTCTTTTTCTCTTACATTAACAAACACACACACATTCATTATGAAGATGTGTTTATTTTTTACAATGATATATATTTGATAATGTATCGTATAAATCTTTCATATATGGGCAAGAAGAAAAGTTTTTAAAATTAATTGCTCTTGGGGGCCCTATGGTGGGTGCCGTAGGGACACATGTTTATGTATAGAAAAAAAAGGGTTTGGGACGGCTCTGTCTCAGTAAAGATGGCAATCTAGAGATGTTCCTCAGTGCTGAGTCATTGGTTACAAGTCAGAGACATTTACTTGACATAAGGGGATGCTATTAAAAGAAAATCACACATTTGCTAATTATTTTCTGAATGAAGCTTTGTAGTTTTTAAAGCTAAGCGAAATAAATTGTATGCTGTTGTCTTGTTCATGAGGACTGGGTCGATGAAATGAGACATGAAGACATAGCTTGAGTTTTCCTAATAAAAAAATTGCTTAAGGCTGTTTTCACACCTGGTTGTCTGGTAGACTCAGTTCGATTGAGGACCAAAATGACAACATTTGTTTCATTTTCAGCTGGTGTCACTGTGTCAAACAAACCAAACTCTTTGAGGAAACTATTAACCAACTCGTGCTGCACCAAGAACCACTGAAGGAGAAGAGATTAAGCCTCTGAGCAAGACACTGAGTACAACTTCCTTATTTATGAAATGTAAACAAAAATGGCGTGGTGTCAGGTTGAGCAATTATAGAATTTCTCTTTTGTCTCTGACGGATGTGCCGAACAAACACTCTTCAACAATTGGCTCAACATGAGCCATTTCTTTGGACCCTTTACCGAGAACTTTACATATGAGACCAGTTTCTGTAGTGTAGTGGTTATCACGTTTGCTTTACACGCAAAAGGTCTCTGGTTCGAAACCAGACAGAAACATTTTCTGCAGGTTATGTTTATCATGGGGTGTTGTCAGTCAACAGGAGGGTTTGACTTGTGTGATCTGGCGCTTGCCAAGTAACTTCTGTGACGATGTCTTTGAAATCAAGGCTCCTTCATAATCACTAATGGTTTTGCATCCTGGATTCTGAATCGTGGCGTCTGAGTTCCAGGTACAGTGGGAACTTCTGGCATCGGACCTGAAATGTTGCACAAAGCAACTTTTTCAAGACAGTAAGTGTCCTCAGGCTTAATTTATGGACTCTAAGTAAACCAAACCCAAAGAAGCAACAAAATCTAGCAATATACTTTATATGATTTCAATATACTTTATTAAAGCATGGCAAATGCAAATAACTTAGAGATCAGTAAGTGTTTGTATTATAATACAGTACTTTTGTTAAAAAGGATTGGACATTGCAAACACATAGGCCACAGGAAGCTGAAGCCCAATATTGACAATATGCAACTTTCCCATCCCTAATGCCCCAAGAATCAACCCCGCCACCGTCCCCACAGTTCCCAGCCATGAGGACCACCTTGTAGCCGCCGCCGATGTTGCACCAACTGACACCCCCGCTGCTCCAATCACTCCCAGCAGGGTACCCGCCATCTCTCCGTCACTCAGAACTGGAGCTAAAGCGTCCATCCCTGCGAGTAGGACTCCTGCGACCGACGCTGCCCCTACAATAACTTTCACCTCGCCAGCTGCTCTGCGAACTAATGCCCCTCCCACTGTGGCCCCCAGGCCCAGCTGACACAGTTTTGCCCCAAAAAAAGATGTGGTCACAGCCTCCAGGGAAGACTGAAGGTTCATTCGAGTGCTGATGAATTCTGCGGACTGATTGTGCCCCGCCTGGCTCATCTTCGCAGCAACTGCACCGGCCTCCTGCTTGGCATGCAGCGTGAGCAAGGCAATGATGAAGGTTGCGAACATTCCCATGCACCCCACCAACATCCAGAACTTAAAGTCAGAGGACTGCAAAAGAACAAAGGCAATGATGACAACTAAAGCCAGAAGCACCATAAGCACAACCTGATGGCCCCCATAGCCAAACAATCCCAACATTGATGTGACAAAGGAAACCACTGCCATTGGTATTCCTGTGAAAGCCAAGAAATCGACTTGTTTGACCAAAACGGTATTGATCCAGTCGTGGATGGTTCTTTGCTCCATTTCAGCCTCTTTATGCTCGATTTTCCTCTTGTCTATCTCCTCCCTTTCTCTTTTTTCAGTCATCCATCTTGCCCTGTCGTCCACTGTGTTGCCCTTCTCTACAGATAATATCCTCTCCTCTATGTGCAGAGCCACCCTTTGTCTCTGCTGCCACTCAATAATCTCAATGTCTTCCCTTTCTCTGGACATGATATCAACTCCTAGAGTGCAACAAGTCTCTCCCTGGGTCCATGCCAGCTGGAATAAAACACTAAGAGGCGGTTTAAGCACAGTGAACAGGCCTAAAGCCCACAGAAGTCCCACCATGCCATAGGTCTTCACAATCCATTCGATTGCCTTCCCAAATGTTGCTCCACTGAGTGTGGTCCCTAGAATGCCAGCACACCCCGCTGATGCCCACAAGCCAGCAGAGTCTGCGTAGGAGGTGCTGCAGCTCCTCGTTGTTACAAACACAGAGGCTACCGCCGCCGCCAAAATAACTCCTGCTATGACGGATGTCATTGCTGTTGTCAGCGCCGTTGCTCCCATAAGCGTGCCCAGTCCCAGGGGACCCATCACCCTGACCTCCTCCATCACTGGTTTCAGTGGACCGCTTGCAGTCATCGCAGAGATGATCCTGTCCACCGGGTCCTCCGTAGCGCCCAGGATGCAACCTCCCACCGCTCCCAGGGCAAATCCCAGAGCTGCCTCCGTCAACTGGCTCTTGTTTCCTGAAAAAGAAAGAAGGCGCGGATCTTTTTACCACTTTGGTTTCTTTTATTCCTACTATTTCAGGAGCAATAAAATAGTTCTGTACCACCAGAACTATTGGACATCATATGATTTGAAACTATATTTCTGAAATCTCCACATTATCAAATGTTGTCGTTACATTTGAAATATGTAATCCCAACAAATAATGTCTACAAGATAAAAGAAAAGTTGGTTTACTATTTCAACTTGACAGACAGTCATAATTTCTTGTGATACTTTTGGATCAATGGAAATACGGCGCAATATGAAGTCTTCAGAAAACAATAAGACATCAATATCAACTTATGTGTTTTTATACTTAATAATTATGTTTCATTTCAGTTTTAGGGGTTTCAGAGATGCTCAGAAAAAGATTCTACGCCAAGCAGAACAAATTCCACAAAAACAATCTACGCTGACTGCACTGCAGTGAAACGACTCATTTTCCAGCCAAGCGGTCAAACTATGCTTACATTTTTGTAATTTTAGTTTCAGATTTTTTTTCTGTCAGTCTCTGTCACTACTTTATCTCAGATGCACAATGTTGCCTCGTGGTAATGGACAATGTACCCACAGCCAGACACCTTTGACAAACAGGTTTTTCAGGTTCGACCAGGAGAAATGATCTCTATCTGGCTGCATGTGACTTAAATCAAACTAGCAAAGATGGAAGATACAAACAATAAAAGCCTCATGAGAGCACTACAAAAGTTTTATGTGGTCAGCCAGTAATGAAAGCAGAGCTGTCTGATGGTTGTTTTCACTTCAGCTCAGTTTGTAAGAACAAAGGAGCAAACCACTGAAACACTGGATCATCAACAAACATGTGAATGAAACTACAGATTTAGGTATCAGACGTTGGTCTCACTCAGTTTATTCCGTGCCATGTTGTCCAAAGAGAAGGCGGCACAGCGAGATCTTCTTTCCCAGAAAATGCTTCTGTCCTCCTCTGTGTGCTCGCAGGACTCGTAGTAAAGCGTGTCCAAGACAGTTTCTGTTTTTCCTGCCCCCACAGTAAAGGAGCCTTGAGGGGACACGCCCTCTTTCCCAACTCGCTTCTCTGAATCACCTTTCCTGGAGATCTGCTGGATCCCGGCACTACAGAGTTCAATGTGTTTGTCAGTGGGGTTTGAAAGAGGAACAATGCGGCAGCTTCCATGTGTAGTTTTGGTTAATGTAAAAAATAAATAAATAAATAAATCATTTGAAATAAATGCATCCTTTATTGTAAAAGCATAAAAGACAACAACAAAACTTCTTTTGTATTTATTTAGTATGAAAAAACATGTAATTAATCATATGTATATATTTTTTTGAAAAATCTCGACCTCTTACGATATAAGGAATTGATACATTGCCAAGGTTTGTAATCTTCATCAGGTTCACCTCAAAGCTGAGAAATGCAATCTTAAAAAAAAAATCCAAAAAGTTACATTGTGCTGTCTTTAAATTGCATTTTATTGCATAAGCTGGCATTTTATTGCATTTTATATGCTGGGAAAATGCCACTGAACATTTGGTAAAGATATTTACAATTTCATAGTTTTCCTATTTTTTGTGTAATTCTTGACCAGACTTTCAATAACTGCAGTAGATTTTGGCCCACTCCTCCATTCTGACATCTTTACAAAATCCTTCAGGTTTCATGATTGTAACTGGGCAACACAGAAGAAAGAGTACAAGAATTTATAATAGGATAAGTTAACCTAAAGAGGTTTAAAAGTAACATGGTTGATGGAGTCTAATGTCAATTGTTATGATATGGAAAATACAGAAATCATATCCCACTTATCCCTAAGATGTGGAACCATTTTCCCACTCAGTAGTTTCTCATAGTAAACATAGTTTAAGCATTTTTTAAGATGGAGAAAAAAGGAATAATGCCCTTTATTGAACAGGTGAGTGGCTCTTAAAAGAGCCTTTGTGGGTCCAGCAGTGTTGACTCTACTTGGCCTTGGCGGCCTTCTCGGTCTTCTTGGGCAGCAGCACCGCCTGGATGTTGGGCAGTACTCCACCCTGAGCGATGGTGACTCCACCCAGCAGCTTGTTGAGCTCCTCGTCGTTGCGGACGGCCAGCTGCAGGTGACGCGGGATAATGCGGGTCTTCTTGTTGTCGCGGGCGGCGTTCCCGGCCAGCTCCAGGATCTCGGCGGTCAGATACTCCAGGACGGCCGCCAGGTAGACGGGGGCTCCGGCCCCGACACGCTGCGCGTAGTTGCCTTTGCGCAGCAGCCTGTGGACGCGGCCCACGGGGAACTGCAGCCCCGCGCGGGACGAGCGAGTCTTGGCCTTGGCTCTGGCCTTTCCTCCGGTTTTGCCTCTTCCGCTCATCCTGAAGCTTCTTTCTGGTCAATGTGGAGCAGCGGCTGAAAGCTTGTCTTATAGGAGAGCAGAGAGAGCGGGAGTCTCTGGAACAACCAACCAGAAAAGCCTCCAGCAGAGCGGGACGCCCGACAGTTTGAAGGGACTTTTTCCTCCAATGAGCAGCGAGGACTGAGCCGGGGGGGAGGAGCTCTGCAGGCGGAGCTGAGCTCCAGGAGGAGCCGCTCACCAATCAGGAGCCCAACACGTCCAGAAGCGTCTCCTCCTCTCTGCTGCTCCATCACTGTAACAGCAGCGGCTCAAAGCTCCCGCTGACACTTTTCTCCGCGTTTCTAGAGAAAGCAGCAGAACATGGCGAGAACCAAGCAGACCGCCCGGAAATCCACCGGAGGCAAAGCTCCTAGGAAGCAGCTGGCACTCCGCATCCGTGGAGAGAGAGCTTGAGCTGCTGACCACACACACACACACACACACACACACACACACACACACACACACACACACACACACACACACACACACACACACACACACACACACACACACACACACACACACACACATACAGCAGGCCTCAGAGGCTCTTTTCAGAGCCACACACACATTTTCTCTCAAGAGCTTTTTCCTTTCACGGTTTCAGACCAGAAATGTTTGGAAACATGATGAATGAAAATAGTAAATTAAGAAATAAAAACTTTAAAAAAAGATGATAAAAAAAATCTGAAAATAGGAGATAGAACAGAGGTGAGATTCATGAGTCTTCATGAAATTTAAAATATATTCTTGGCTCTGTCCAAAATGACATTATTTCATCCGTGTGATGTAGCTATAAAACATGTTTGATGATGATTTATTTTCCTTAGTTATAAAAATATTGGCTTAATCTAAACCTTCATCTTGTTTATTGGATCTGATCTCAGTCATTTAGAGAAATGATTCCTGCCTCCATTGTTGTCACAAATCTAGTTGTTTTTATAGTAGCTGTAATTAAACCCATATTTAGAAATATTCTCTCAATCAAGAGGATTTAGTAAATCACAGCGCTGTATCTAAACTTCATTTTTCATCTAAAATCCTTGTTACATCTCAAAGCTCCTTTGGACAGTCGATCACAATAATCTTATAAATGTCTAAAGAAGCTGCAGGGATCAAGAGAAAAAGCACCGAGCAAGTTTAAATCTAATTTATTTGACAAATTAAACTTTATTATGTTGCAGTCCTCCATCAGTTTCCAGATCTTTCTATCATCACATAGGCTGCCATTAATAATCATGTGCTGCATCTATTGTCATACATCTACTATTCTGTCAAACATTTAGTTATAATTTAGTTATAATTATTATCTGTCCACATGATGATATATAATGCAATAGTCATCTATTAACTTTATCATATTGAAATGAATATTTGAGAAAAACAGCAATAAATAATAGTTGTCTCTCCTGATATTTGTCGGTAGGTGGCGCCAAAGGGAAGGCCCAGACCGAGTCGGCCCAGGTAACCCTCTCCCCTGACTTCTAACACGTCCGCAGTCCCGCTACAAACGCTGCTGAACCCGCTACATCCTCATTACTGCAGAGAACCAGCTTAGAGTCACGATGAGCGGACGAGGCAAAGGAGGGAAAGGTTTGGGCAAAGGAGGCGCCAAGCGCCACCGCAAAGTCCTCCGAGACAACATCCAGGGAATCACCAAGCCCGCCATCCGCCGTCTGGCTCGCCGCGGGGGAGTCAAGCGGATCTCCGGCCTCATCTACGAGGAGACCCGCGGGGTGCTCAAGGTCTTCCTGGAGAACGTCATCCGTGACGCCGTGACGTACACTGAGCACGCCAAGAGGAAGACCGTCACCGCCATGGACGTGGTGTACGCTCTCAAGAGGCAGGGCCGCACTCTGTACGGCTTCGGGGGTTAAACTCACATTACAGCGAACCAAAGGCCCTTTTCAGGGCCAACAACTGCTGCTGATGGGGTCAAGGTTCTTGTTCACGTCACAAAACTCACGTTAATTCATGTTGCCTGAAAACCATGACTTTATTTGTGTATATGATTCAATCCACTGAGAATTATCTGGTGCGAAGGAACCAGTTAAGAGTAACAATGTTTGCTGAACATTTATGTTAAAAGGATTTCACACTTTCTTCTTACTCTAAACATCATTGTTGTAGATTTTTACACCCAAAGATCAAAGTTTTCATATGAAACATGGATGTTTTCATCAACTCGCAGGTTCACAAGTTGGTTGGTTTCAAATAAAATTACTAGTTAAGAATAAAACAGAAATGTGTAGGAAATATATTTATATCGGTATAAACCCTCATACATTACAGGTTATAGAAATCTAACGTGAGAATGTTCAGTTTCCTCCCGCCGATTTTCTTCAGTTAAATCAGGCGCAACTTTTCAACCAATCATCTTCTGGCTGAACTCAGCCCCGCCCTGCTTGCTGGCTCAGCCAATCACAGCCAGGAGGCGGTACTGGAGGAGTTTCTCTCTGTATAACAGCAGCTTCCCTCCGCTACTCCTGTTCACTGTTTGCTGTAAACTCTGAGGAAACATGCCTGAACCCGCCAAGTCTGCGCCCAAGAAGGGCTCCAAGAAAGCGGTCACCAAAACCGCCGGCAAAGGAGGCAAGAAGAAGAGAAGGACCAGGAAGGAGAGCTACGCCATCTACGTCTACAAGGTGCTCAAGCAGGTCCATCCCGACACCGGCATCTCCTCCAAGGCCATGAGCATCATGAACTCCTTCGTCAACGACATCTTTGAGCGCATCGCCTCCGAGGCCTCCCGTCTGGCTCACTACAACAAGCGCTCCACCATCAGCTCCAGGGAGATCCAGACCGCTGTGCGCCTCCTGCTGCCCGGTGAGCTGGCCAAGCACGCCGTGTCTGAGGGCACCAAGGCGGTCACCAAGTACACCAGCTCCAAGTAGACCAGCTAATGCTAAAGCTAATGCTGCTACAGCTCGGACACAACAACACAACGGCTCTTTTAAGAGCCACACACAACACTGGAGAGCTGAACTCCTCTGCAATGTTTCATGGTTTTAGGTGTGATAATGCAACTTATTGTAATATGGGAAAGTTCACATGAGTTTCACTCGAATGTTTTAGTAACATGAACATAGTGGCCCAATCATATGCCACCAATGGTATATTGACTTTCTCTTTTTAAGCAATTTATGCTTAAAATTAAAATCTTGCTAATATCTCAAATCATCCAAAACATTTAAAATGGGCCTGATCGGTCCAGTAGTTCTAACTTGACAATTCAACTTGAAATTGAAAGACTTTTAGTTTAACAATATTGAAAATATAGTAAATATTATGTAATAAAATATATTGACTCATATCTTCAATACAAAATTCAAAGGGTTGTAAAAATACTTGCAGCAAAAATAGTTTCTATGCTGAAACTTCCCTTCTGAAGCAGGTCTGTTCAGGCTTTTATTTTGGCGATCATGCTGATCTGTGTGTATAAAGTTGTGTATCTATTAGTTACCAACCTGCAACACACAAATCATCTGAAAGCTGGATTAAGGTTGAACTTTATTCAAACAAAATTTAAGTTGCACATTCTGACATAATCCTATAAATTATATTATTTATTTGTGCTGGAATAAACTGGAGTATAATAATAATACAAATGACATCAAAACTGTTTCCTTTTTCCTCAACAAGGCAATTCAAAGTCTTTACATGAATTACAGGAAATAGAAACAAAAAAAAGAAAAGCTGGAGAAACCAAAAAGTACTTTATAACAGGATTTCTCTGGATAAACTAGTGGAGAATAAAAGTAAAAGTCATTTATAAACCACTAGGAGTTTCTCTGATGTTCCTTCCTGGTTTGTTGACTGAACTGTACAAGGCAGCTGGATCCTCCACACTGTCCTGCTGTGCAGACTCAGACCTGCAGGAATTGTTTTCATGTTAGTAGAGATAATATACAGAACAAGAACATATCAGTTCAGATCTTATTTTTTAACATATAGAGCGTCTCACCTTGCATCAGTTCTGGTTCTACCACAGTTAACAGAGGCGTACTCCACCATCTCTTCTTCCTTCCTCTTCTTGTGTCTGTTGGACTGAGTTGGGCTGATGTTGGAGTAAACAAGCTCTTCCTGTTTTGTTGCGAAGTGGACAACAGAGTAGGCAACATCGTCCTCTGCTGGGATCACCTGTGGACACCAGTCACATTAACCAGTAGGGGGCGCTATGAGAGAGCTTCAGGGTAAACCCAAGTGTTTTTTCCCCTCATCTACTTGGTGCATAATAACATTACCAATGAAGAATTCAATGAATTTATGAAAACGTTGAAAGAGCAAACAAGTCATTTTCTTCTCTAACCTGTTCACTGGGAACTTGTCCTGCTGCAGGTCTGGACTGCTGCTTCCACACTTTGGTTTTTCTGCTGGAAGGAAATTATTTCAGAAGGTGATGATGAAAAATCAAGACTTTGTTAAAATAAATAAACAACAACTCTTCAAAGTAACAGAACTGCTCACAGGATCCACAAAAAGAGGCAGATGAGAATCAGGAAAACAGCAGGAACTGCAGCAGCAGCAGCAGCAGCAGCGACTTGGTTCCTTGGTGCTGAACAGATCACAGTGACAGTCAGTGTTCAGTACGCAGCAATTAGACCCATTAATTACTATTATTAAAGGCAGCCAGCGTTTCTCCTCAACATCAAACTGCTATAAACAATAGTTTCTCTTCAGGAAATCAGTCATCAGTATCTCCAGGTTCTTAACATGAGATTCATCTCCAATGTTTCACATTTCCAGACTGTTGATGATTATCAACCTGTTTTCTCCTCCCTCTCTGATTGTCTGCTGCTGTTTCTCGTCGCTCCAGCCGGTTCTGGTTCCAGGAGATTATTCTGATTCCAGTGGATCCGGATCGGTTCTGACCTTTTGAGAGTCCAACTGTGGCCTCTGTTTGACTTACCTAACACAACGTTCACAGTCACAGTGGAGTTACAGCGCCCTCTGCTGTTCTGAGCTTCACAGTAATAATTTCCTCTCTGCTTGAACATAATGTTAGTGATGGTGAAGTTTTGTCCTGAAGCTTTTGGTGCCTCCTCTCCCTCCTTGTACCAGGTGTAGTTAGCTTCTGGGTTAGCATCACTGCTGCAGCTCAGAGTCACCAGGCTGCCCTCCATGATTTCACCAGAGGGAGTCACTGACACTGAGGGAGGCCTGGGACCATCTGGAGGACAGGGCAGAAAGGTCAAAGGTGAACTGAGAGAAAGAGGTGAAGACATTAATCTGTTAAAGGGGAAGAAATTTTAATCTATCAGGGATTATTTGCTGGTGTTTCAGTAAAATACTGGTACGTTTGTAGTTAAACCAGATTGACTCACATGTGACCTGGACAGAGACGGGTCCAGATGTTTCCTCTCCCAGTTGGTTCTGAGCTGTGCAGTAATACAGTCCAGAGTCTGAGGACAGGATGGACCAGAAGACAAACTGTTGGTCTTCACTGACGATTGATTGGTTGTTCTTCTTCCTCCAGGTGTAGTTAGCTTCTGGGTTAGCATCACTGCTGCAGCTCAGAGTCACTGAACGCCCCTCAGTTATCTGACCAGAGGTCATCAGGTTAGCAGAGGTAAACGTTGGAGCATCTGGAGGAAAATATAAAACTCAGCATCATTATCATCTGGATATTTTACTGATTGCTGGAGGTCAGTAGAGTAAAGAGTATCAGGGCAGCTGCCACAGCCTTCTGGCCTCCAACACCAAACATTATGGTGGCAACAGGTGGTTTGGTTCTTGAACGCACCACCAAAATATTTATGTTTTCTTTCTTGAAAAAATATAGATGCAACAATTACTAAAAATGTCTTACAAGTTAAATGAAAAGAAAAATTAACTTGATTTGATGTTTTAAGTTCAAAAGTTGCCAAAAAAAAAATCATTTTACAAAAGCCTCCAGTCATGACAGGGGAAATTAGACAAACAATAGACTTTAATTACTTCAATTAATAGGAGGGTCTACAGGTTAACAAAGTCATCTAAACTATTCCATCAATTCTAATTTAACTTAAACATTTTCTAACTAACCATAGAAGTAAAATAAATTGATAGTAATTACAATGTACAAAATATCAACATAAATGGCCACAACAGCAGCATTAAGTCTTTATATTGTCACTCTAAAAGAAACCATTGAAAAACAATTATTCAGTAAAATGGCTGCTCAAAAATGTAGTAGATGTTTAATAATCAGACATACAAAATATATGCAAAGGTGAAAACTCTGTTTTTATAAATAAATGTGTTGATTTGATTGAGAGTTTATTCTATGGATCATGTGGAAATATTGATAGAATAAAATGTTAATAAACTTACACACAGAGAGAGAGCGGAGATCTTTGTGTCCTTTAACAGAACAGGAAAATCTGTCTCCATCTCTGACTGAGACCAGTATAGAAGAAGTCTGTTCCTCCATTTTCTTCTCCTTGTTGAACCAAACATATGAAGGAGGTTTGATTGGATCACAGCTGCTTTCACACTTCAGCTCCGTCTGCGTCTCTGATCTTCTGACCTGAACTCTGAGGTCTGGATGGTTGAAGGAACAAGAACATCTCACTTTAAAATCAATCTGGAAACATGCAAATAGAAACACAAAGATTCACAACAAACACACAGATCTGTTACCTGTTACAGTCAAGATGACTCCAGGTAAACCAGTAAATGCTCCACCTTGTTGGTTTGTTATGAACCTGAACTTGTACTCAGCTGAGTCTCTCAGATTCAGATCTTTGATTGTCAGATTGCAGCTGCTGCCTGTAAAGTCATAAATTATTCGACCATTATAGTCAGAATCCATCTTCAGATCCACAGGGACTTGATTATTTACTTTAGTGAACCAGAGCCTTGTTTTAACTTTTGTTGTTATTCCATGTATTTTGTATGGATATGTATAGGAACATTTTATCTTCACTGTTGATCCTGTCAAGGCACAGATCTGAGATGGATCATATTTAACTGACCAGTCAGGTTCAGCTTGTCCCACTGTAACACAAATAACATCAAAAATATGAATCACATTCACAATAATAACAACTACACCTCCCACAATGCACCACTGGGACATTTTAAACGGTTATTACTTCCATTAATTTGATTTGCACCAAGTATTGCAGATAGTCTGTCAATTTGAGTTGATCAACGTGTTTCAGTACCTGACATAGAGAGGAACAGGGCAACAAACCCAGCTGCTGCTGCAGAAAAACTCATCGCTGCTTCTCTCTTTAACTGTTTGGTTTCAGCAAAATGAAAATCAATCAGAAGGTTTTACATCTTTAAATCTTCCTACAATTGTTAATCATGAAAGTCTTTCAACATTAAAAGTCTCTCATTAGCTGTTATTTGTTATAAAATAAAATAATTATCAGGCTGCTCACCTCAGGAGAAGCTGTTGTCCTGCAATGCAACGCTGCAGAGCATCACCTCTGAGGGTGGAAGTTACATTGAGGGCTTGGTTAGTTTTCCTTCCTCTTCTTATTTCTAGCAAACCGGAAATACTTTCATTCATCTCTGCCTAATTTTTGTTGCTGTGTGTTTATTGTCATCATTGTTATTTTGAAATGCTATTTTTTGTCACAAATTGTGCTTCAGTAATGAGCTTTATTATCAAAATGGTTATAAAAGTGATCTCTGTTTGAAGTTGCATCAGTTTATAAAGTTTTTAAATTTCATTTCTGGTTTTTACTGCTGTGGATGAAACTAGTGGGGTAAAAATATGTAGAAGCAAAAAACTTGAATTTCCTGCTTCGCTACATCTGCATTTGGTAATTAGAATCTTGTTCTGTTTTTGTAAACGAATATGTCGAAATACCTGAGTTGTTAGACATTTCTGGTATGTTAAGCAGTATGTAGAGAAAAGAAAAACGGAACAAACAGCCAACAGGAAATATCAGCCTAAAGAACAGGTCTTTGGTTTTTAGAGTCATTTCAAAGTTGGGGCTTTGACTAAACCACTTTAAAACATCACCACATGCTCTTTAATAATTACCCTTTCTGGAATCAGATACTTGTGTAATAAACTGAAAGAGGCTTACCAAACAAACACTCCCAGATATAAGAGTTTGATTATGAAAAGAAAAATGAAGATTTATTAAAAGCAAAAAGCAGATCAAAAACAGCAACACAAACAAAACCATATTTTTATCAACTTTCTAGGCTTTTATATGAGCAAATAAACATGATCAATATAAAATGAGGGATTACATATCAATATATTAACAGGAAATATCAGAGTACAGTCTCTGTGCTCCGCTCTGTTACGACCTTATATGGACTTCCAACCGTCTCCTTGGTTACGGGTCGTGGTGAACTGGGTTCATGACCCCTCCATGGTTGACCTGGACTGGTACCTGGTCAATCCTCTGTAGCCTCTGCTGGACGTGA